CCCCCCCCCCTTCATATAATTCTGTATGGGCAAAATATTGCAAGACGCAAACCAAAGCTTAGAAAGCTTAACTGAACTTCTGCTTGCAGATGACCAATGTCAAATTTATTCAGACTAACAGAGACTTGTAAGTCACATGAAAACAGCTGAAAAAAAATGACATGAGAATAATCGCACCAAAACCAGAGTGATGAAATTCAGCCTAAATCTTGAAACCTAAATATTCATGTGAATAACCAACTGTAACATCTTGGCGAGATTTTTGCAGAAAATGATATATAAAAACAGTGATACAAAATAAAAATAGCCAACACCGTCGCCTGTCTGCTCGCACCTCTCCAATCATACCCGCCCTAACATGTCTAGATGGAAGTTTTTATTAATTCAATATTTATTCCAACATTATGCTAGCAACATCAAACTTGGACATTAAACCAGATTACACCACAGAACCCTAAACATCATAAGAAGAGAAAGCAGAGACACGAAAGTGTAAGAGCAGAACTGTTAGAAAGGAGTCCTGCCTGCATTTAAGAAAACCAACGAATAAAGGTGTAACCATCGGTTAGGAATGCCACCTTGTCAGCCAGTCTCGAATTTCTTTAACACCAAGTTCACAGGCTACAAATACAAGGATGAGGAAGATCACACAAAAAGATGGACCGAGTGAGGCAAGGAACCCTGAGAAACAGCATATCAATTGAAAAAGCTGCAGAGTTGTTCGACCACAGAAAAAATTGCATCTCTCTTCGGCTGTAATGGCAACAAAGGAGGGAAAACGAGAAAACAAGGAGAAGTATAAGGGAGAAGGGAGAAGACGGGAAGGAAAGGATGGGGAGTTGGGGTGATAAGCTTAGGTGAGGAGTTTAGGAGGGGGAGCTAAGGTGGGGAGTTTAGGAGGGGAGTTTATGTGGGGGTTTAAGTTGGTATGGGGAGTATAATAGGTGGGAGTTTCAGTCGAAAATCTAGGTGAGGACTTTTGGAGAGGAATGAGGGTGGAGGCCATGGGAGAGAGGAGGGTAGCGGATATGGGAGAGAGGGTGATGGTGGAAGATGTGGGAAAGAGGGGAGAAGGAAGGAGGAGCCAGGAAAGAGGAGAGGAGGGTGCAGAAGAGGAAATGGGAGAGAAAGTCTTAAGGGTAAGAAACTACAATTAGTATAACGTTATTGCAGTAACTATTGGAGGTGGGTAATTGCTTAGTGAGTATGAACAGATGAATGGCGGGAAAAGACCAGAATTACGGTATATGTTGGTTTGTATTTTTTTAGAACATCCAAGCAGAGGAATGAGTGGTCAATTCATGAGAAGTGATGTCTGTTTCAGATTCAGTTTGTTCGTTGTTGTTTTTTTCTTTTGTTTCTTTTTCTTTTCTTTTCGGGGGG